TGTCTTGGCGTTCATTGAACTTTTTGCATGTTGACCATGCAAATAAAAGTAAAAGAGAAGTAGACCGGGTTTAATGAGACTAATTGTCTGTAATACATGACAAGAGCGTAAATTGAAGTCGAAAAGGGGCTTAAAATAAAAGTAATTGTTGTATTTTAGAGGATGTTAAGAATATTAACCTGACATTTCAATAATAATAAATGAAGTAAAATATATACAATGAAAACATATACAAAAGTGCAATAAAAAATTAAACAAAAATAAAACGAAATAAAATAAAATAAAATAAAATAAAATAAAATAAAATAAAATAAAATAAAATAAAATAAAATAAAATAAAATAAAATAAAATAAAGTAAAAAAAGATAATATACCCTCATGAATCCTTATTTTCCAAAATTCATTTCGCCGTTTTGTTTTCAGTGTTGAGTTTCCTCAGATATAACATTGTTAGTATGCCAATCGTGCGTAACTTGAATTATTATTAGGTGCATACAGACATATGTATGTTAGGTCTTACTCAATAAGCTACAATTTATTATTACGATTTCATTACATTTGTGGATGGGCGAAAGTGAGTAAAAGAATTGGTAATTATTTTTTCACGCTAATTACACATACATTTGATTTTCTATATATTTATGTGTGTATGACATGGATTATTTTATAGCTTTCAAGCACATTAACTCATTTGGCAATAAGCAATAAGTAAATAGTAATTATGCACTTATCTACATAGATATATGCACTTGTTTTTGTAATTTGTTGAATCCGTATTAAGTGGTTGCCAAAGAGGAATAAAATATCAGATGATGGTTGTATCGTTTGTATGTATATAATTCACTTGTTAATTTGCGCTTTGTAACCGCTGAAGCGATTTTCCATTCCCATATCTGGAAAATTTATTATTTCTTCGATTTCTTTGATTTTCGGTACTAATGCTTATTTGTAGATACGTGCGTAGAAAATAATTTTCTGACGTTTGTAAATGCTTTTTTGATAGGTTTTTGACAAAATGCCTTATATCTGTACCAATCGGTTTATAGAAAGAGACACAGGCCTCCAATTTAGATAAATTTCCGCATCGAAAAGTAGTTCATCATTTGTGTGTGGAATACAAAATTTCTCACCCTGAGATACTTTTTTGACACATTTTTTCGACCGTTAAGTCGTATCGGTCGTATATAAGCTATAGTGATCCGATCCGGCCTGCTCCATTCTGATCTAATGGTTATAAGTTCTATATCTTCTTCTGCTTACATATTTCTAAAATAGACTTTTTCAGACCATATATTTTTTAAATTTTGAATGTATTGGTCCTATTTTATGTATATTGGGAATATTTAATTAAATTCTTGAAGTAAGGTTTGAATAAGACCGAAAAATAACTTATTTGGTCCTTTGAGAATAAAGAGTTTTCGGTATTTTGTCTTATCTGGCTATTATGCTGGCTCTGTTTCTTCTGTTTGGCATTTTTTTATATTTGATTTTTGCTGGGATTGAGAATTATTTAAAAAATTGTGCCATTTTCGCCCAGAAAAATGAAGATTTAAAATTAAAAGAAAACAATTCAAAATTTCTGCATAAAAATTTAGGAAAAAATTATTTTTAATTATATTTAGCAATTCTGGTTTTGTTGATATGTTTTTGTAGTTACTACTTCTAGACATTTGATAACAGGATTTATTTTCTTTGCGGTATTTATGTCTTGTAGCAATCAAAACTGCAACAAAATGCTCAGCAGCCATAGAAAAATAAGCGTAAAAACAGTACAGAGAAAATCCAATCAATGCAAAGCCACCAAATCCAGCACAGCAAATAAACAAATAAATAAATAAACAAATAAACAAACCAACAAAATGAACAAAATGAGATGCGATGTAATCAAAGTCAGTGTGAAGCTATGTAAAATAACACTCATACGCCTTGTAGAGCGGCAAGCACGAAATTGCTTTACGACCCGCACACGCGCACGCACACATACATCCAACCATTAACAACAACTACACTATACTGCCACTCTCAAAATTACTGACTAACTGACTGAGACGCAGTAACAATTTGCTATCGTAACTGTATGTAACTGTAAGATGACTGCTCACGACGATTGGGTCGCAGCATATGATGTGTGGGTCATGCCATTTGGGCTGGCCGCCGAGAAGGCAAATTATGAAGCGAGTATTGGACATTTGAGATATCAATAAAGCTGTGTAGGTTTATGCATGTGTCTTTCTCTGTACATATGTATATACATACAGATTGCAGAAAGTGAGGTTAGGTGTGTTTTGGTTCACTGAGATCACGTAAATTACTAACCAACATTTAAATATCAACACTATTGGCGTTTACTGACATTATTATTACGTAATTGCAATCATTTATGTACATACAAACACGTATGGCGATTACTTATGTAAGTGACGTGAGGATTAGGGAGTGGTTGGGGAATTTTGGATTTCAGGAAATCGCTATGAAATGTATAAAACTAACAGAGATTGAAAATATTTAATGATTCTTATTGCATTTTCATTAGTTGTAAAGAAAAAGTTTCTTTGAAGAAATACAGATTTTTATAGAAGGTTTCAATACCGAGGCATATTCATGTAGGTCCCAAGGATATGATCTATAGGCTAATACGTGATGCTGAGTGTAATGAATTTTCTGAAGCAACGCTCCTCCAACCAACAGCAGTAAAAATGTAACCCGAAGATGGAGAAATCCTCGCTCCTATTGACAAAAAAAAAAATTTTCGAAACGCCTCTTTTTAAGCCAATACTTCGCTAATTGGTTAACCATAGACAGGAACACTTAGTGCGAGGTTCGACTATAAGGTGGATGCATAAGAACCTATCAACCTAGCTCTCGGAGCTTTTGGTGAGTCACTATACATGTGTGTGGTCTGGCGTTGCCTTTATGATGCACACTTCCCTTCCTGTTGGTCAAAGCTGGGCGCTCCTGTGTGATTGCTCCCTTCAACTCAAGAGTTTTGCCATAGGGGAGCAGCTGGTAGGGAATGATCCCTTGCTAAACCCCTCAAACACTACAAAACCTTAATCACCGTCAATCCTGGCATCTTTTATGCTCATTGCTCCTTGATGTTGCTGTAGGTGATCCATTAAAATTTTTTTGTTAATTCATATGGCACTCATATATCGAGCTTCTTTGTATATTCAGCCTTTTTCAAGTGGTTCCAAATTGTCTTTTGTTCAAAGCTTAGCTTCAGGGTAAGTTGATTCTTTATTGGGTGACTTCTTCAACCTAATTCTGTGAAATAGAGCGTACAACCTTTGAATATCGTTGTAATTGAGTTGAGTTAGTTCCTCTCTTAACCAGTCAAAACTTAACCCTACAAACCGCTCGACCATTGCGTCCTCCTTCATGGCACAAAAGCATGGACGATTACAATATGTGACGCTTTAGCACTATGGATTTTCAAGACAGAGGTCTTGTGAATGATTTATGGGCAATGGCGGATACCACAGGCGATTGTGTGAAGCGATCAAGTGAAGGCTTCGCTGCTTCTAATTGACGCCGATGAGTAGCACTTTATTGCCGACTCGACTATTGCTTGTTGGATTTAGCATTTAAGCATATTTTATTTCCAGAATTTAATAAATATTTTTTGAATTTGCTATGTTTATAATTTGAATACGTCAAAAATAAGAAAGAGAAAATATCTGTAGTTGTGTTGAGGACTGCGAAAAATCATGTAAATAAAAAATAGTCCCATCGATTCGGTTGAAATACTTGGGAATGTTATCGTTGAAGCAGTTATCAAAATTATTCTATTTTTATCCGAAACGAAATGTTGGCGTTAATCTTAAACGATTAAGAGATAATGTTTAGGCGTTAACAGCTAATGTTAAGGCATTAACAGATAATGTTCAGACGTTAACAGATAATGTTAAACGTCAACATTGAAGTCTGTTGTTAATATTATGATGTGCAGCTATTTTAAAATTTACGTTAACGATGAGTTTATATAATTTTAGCATTAACAATTTCATTTTGTCGTGATAATATGACGCCGAAACGAAAAAAATCATGTTTTGAGTTCATATTTGTATTACCAAAACGAAATGACATCGCTTCGCAAGTTGAGCATTTCTGGTTAAAATGCATCAGGCTACCAATGCATGACTTCGGCCGTATATCAATTCCACTTTTTTAGTATTTAATGGTTTTTTCAAGGTCCCAACCTTCTGAGATAGAATTCAAGTTTAAACAATCATAATAATTGCCACATAGAAATAAATAGATGTTAATTAGAACTGTTTGAATTTGCTACAGATATTAATATCATTATTTGTTTATCATAACTATTAAATGTTTACATATAAGTAAATACCAAATTGGTTCTATTCATATTTATATGCATTATTTGATGTTCATACCAATTACTAAACAGTAAAATCTTTTTGTTGTTTTCATTTTGAGTGCATATACCCAGGCATCTCACACAAGAGCAGAGCAAACCAAACGCCTTGAGTCTGAAAATTATATCAAGTGTTAAGTAAAGACTTTGAACTCGATTTAATAACATTTTGCAAAGCTCTTTGATTTCACATCAATGTCAGGTATATTGACAAATATGTGTGTATGTATGTATGTACTTAAAAGTATGTTGTTGTATATGTAAAACCAGTTTATGGACGGACAATGTTAGCTTTGAATTGTGTACTTGAAATGATTTGTAGGTTTTTCGATCACGGGCATGCACATATGTATGTATGTATGTTTTTAGCCACTATTTGGCTAAAATAAATACAAAAAAGTTGGACTATTTAATACAGTAGTTAGTTATTATTTAGTACGGCTATAATCGCGTAAGCGGTGCCAACGCCAATAAAGAAGAAGAATTTATTTATTTTTTATTTATTTAAATATTTGTTAAAAGTCCTTGAGGTCTTATGTTAACAGAGATTTTGCTCAATTTAAACTTCTTAAAGAATGAATTATATTTTACTTATAATATTTATTTTCTCTTTCTGCCTTTTCAGTGTCGAAAAGAGCCATTTAAACAACGGTAAGTGTTTAGAAATTAATTTTTTTGTCGTTGAAAACAAAAAATATCTGCAAAATGTAAAAAATATGTGGGAAGCTTATAATAAGCATCAGATGACTGAGACAAGGCTATATCGGGCATGTCATTGAAGATGTCAAAGCTCAAATAAGTTTCAGTTTCAAAAGCAAACGGCAGTCGGCCCACCCTTTATGTGACCATGACATTGAAAAATGATTATAAAGTAGTTATATTATAAATCACGGTAATAAAGATATAATTGCTGAAAAAAGAATGGAAACATTCAGACAATAATTGGTCAACAATTCACACGTAACTCCACATGCTCATGCTCATCTCACGTTCACAAGCAACAATTATGAATATTGTTTGCAAATTGGCGATTGTTCATTTTTTATTTTAAATATTTCATTGAATATTTTCATCAAATTTAGCAACAACAATTCAACACAAGGTATTTTCCATTCATTGAAAAAATATTTTCTGCATGCTCATGCTCGTGGGTGGCAATGACTGGCTGTGGCTTCAAAAGTTCATGGCGAACATTTTGGATTCAATTGTAAAACTAACACAAATGTATTTGATTTGTTGTTGTTGACAAACGAGTGTAATTAGTCGTACTTTATGTAATTATTTCCACAATACTTATCAATGTGTGTACAAATAAATACATACATACATATATTTTTATTTATAAAATTTTAATGTCTGTTTGTAAAGTTACCTAGCTTGGCTTGAAATTTTGTCAGATTGTTTCCATAATACCTGTGTAGATTTATTTAAAAAAGTGGAAATGGACCCGGGACCGACCTTATCAAGAAATTCTTTTTTATCTTTAGATTTACTTAAAATTTGGGTCAGAGGTTGGTTTTTGCTTAGATTAACAGGAAGACTACTCTTTTCACCGGGAAGTAGACCTGGGACCGACCTTATCAAGAAAATCTTATTTATCCTTAGACTTACTTCAAATTCGATTCAGAGGTTGGTTTTTGCTTAGGTTAACAGAAATACTATTCTTTTCTGCGGGAAGTGGACCCGGGACCGACCTTATCAAGAAAATCTTATTTATCCTTAGACTTACTTCAAATTCGATTCAGAGGTTGAGTTTCGCTGAGTAACAGGAAGACTACTCTTTTCTCCGGGAAGTGGACCCGGTACCGACATACTCCAAAAATCTTATTTATCTTTAGATTTACTTCGAATTCGGTTCAGAGGTTGGTTTTTGTTTAGATTAACAGGAAGACTACTCTTTTCTCCGGAAAATGGACCCGGGACCAACCTGATCAAAAAATCTTATTTATCTTTAGATTTACTTCAAATTCGGTTCAGAGGTCGGTTTTCGCTTAGATTAACAGAAAGATTACAATTCTTTCCTCCGGTAAGTGGATCGGGGACTGACCTAAGACTTATCGTATCTGGGGATAATATTATCTTTCCACTTTAGCTTCTTGTCTCCGATGACTTCTAGAAATTTGGCTTTTACACTCAGCCTAAGTTGAACACCGTGCAGTACTGGTGTGTTGATAGCAGGAATCTTGCATCTCCTTGTAAATAGCACTAGCTCAACTTTGTTTGAGTTCACACAGATACCCCCTTTGGCAGAATAGGACGATACCTCTCTGAGTGTTCGATGTATCAAATCACAGAGGGTTTGTTTAAACTCTTTGCCTCTATATGCAATGGCGATATCATTTCCGGAGGAATCGGTTTAAATATCTGGATGCGTGATAGCCTTCCAGGTTCGCGTTATAATCCTGCTTAGTAACAGTTGGTGAAAGAAGTGCCGCAATGGAGTGCCGACATCTAATCTAATGTTCTTGAGAACGCTCTCTATATGCAGGAAGGCAACAAGACAACATTTCTTGTTGTAGAGAGGTTTTCCATTTCAGATAACTAGTCCACGTAGTACAGTTTCTGTCGATTTTCCCCCCTGGTGTGGCGTGTTGATCTTTTTTACATGGTTGAAGCATATATATATAAGCATATACACATATTTATGTACGTCAGAACTTATAAAATTATATTTGCCCATTAATTATGATAATATTTGAGTAGCGGCAATTTGCCAAGCAATTATTTCAATTATTAATTACACTTTGCAATTGCATATCATCATCAGTGCAACAACAAATATGCATATATATTTTCTTCGCACGCACTTAAGCTATTTTCATACGCTACGCTAATCTACCCGTCTCTTTCTTTTTTGGGCGCTTGTTTTTTTTTCTTCAAGTAATATATTTGTTTTAGCTTATTTTAATGCAATTAATGTACGTATGTGTGTGTGTATGTGTGTGAAAGATGGTAGACAATTGGCCGCGAATAATGAAGTAATCGCCATTGTTGTTGGTTAAATGCGCAACCGCAAACAGAAACCGCACACAGCCAAACATTTGTAAGCGCAGTCACTGTCACATTTTCCGCATAATAAATTGTTAAATAATTATACATTTTAATTACAAGCAAATCCTTCAGATAGTTAATTATTTACTTATATATGTTTGCATGTATATGTGCAAGGTAAATAGACACCTTTCCATTTGTCATACTACTTTACTCAGTCACATTTAGTCGTGCATAAATTAAGACCGGAAAGTTTTTAGGAATTTCCATTTAAACTGCACGCGCTGAATATTTTTCAACACTACTTTTTTGTTAAGCTGGCAGCACTGTCTTTAATTACTTTGCCAAAAATGAGTGTGATCTGTCAAATTGGTTTTTTTGAAGCAGCTGTTGAAATCAGTCGACCTCAGTTCCCTCTGCGAATGTTTGTTTACGGCCTCAATCGAGTCAAAACGTGTCAAAACGGGACTTGAGTTTTGGAAACAAAAAAAGTCGCTTGGGCACAAATCCGTTCACAGATCGGTGCGATGGCGCATTATCGTCATGAAAGTCTCTGGAAATTATTGGCCTACAATTCCGACCTTTTACGATGGATATTATCGCGCAAACGTCTCTAAACGCTCGATAATATAATATTCCTTATTGACCGACTGTCGGGTTGGAAAAAATTCAAGACGAACCAGGCCGCGAATATCGAAAACAAAAACTATTTCCGGAAACTTTCTGGTCTTAGTGTATACATATTATGCGTCTAATGCAGTGGAAATCTATGCCATGAGGATACTAATTTGAAAGTGGTATTAAATGCACCAAGTTATATCAGTTCCTTGCAGTGCTGATAGATCGAATAGAAGGACTGGTTTCATTTGCGCAATAAACCATCATTAGACACTCATATTCTTCTTCATCACATCTTTCTCCTTCTTCTTCTATAACGTCATCTACTTCCTCCACTTTCACCAGAGGGTACTAGATCCCATACTTTCACAGCTAGAGTGCTTGCACTCACTCCGACGGCTTGAGCTGGCGCAAGTAGCCGCTATCTCTTTATTCGCTCAACAATGTCAATATCGCCATTTATCTCTTGCTGCTCCGGATTCATCGTCTGCGGCATTCTCCCTTGCCTATGCGCAATGGCTCATAACACTTTTTCTGAAACCCTTTCTTTCGAATACTTTCGAATGTGTCTCATGAGATGATGTCATCGTGCATCAGGAATGAGGAGTGCCTTGTATAGCTTTGTCTTTGTTCGTCGCGAGAGAGGTACGCATGAATTATCATTAAACAAAAGTGCTGGAGAGAGGATATATTTTGTGTTCTGCTCGCACTTTAGTAGACACATTTCCTTCGCTTCCTTGTCTAATATAGAAATAGCAGAACTATTTGCACGTCGTTAGGGCCAATAATGTCTATATCCTTGGAATATTGCAGAGATTATACACTCTTGTAAAATATATTGCGGAGAATTATGCAACGGTTGCGCAAAATGACACAGCCCGTAAGACCCTCTTGTTATGGATTGTACAGGCTAAACTTGGGTTCCAACCGTCGGGTAAACTTTGCTGCAGTTGGAGTTTTGGGTTCCTCATCTCCGGATGTTGTACTGTATTTAAGCCGACTGGATAGAGGTTTTTGCAATTAACTCAGTACTTTTGGCATCAGTGAGTACATAACCTCTCTAAATCCTACATGAGTATGGTACGATCGGGAAATCTTCTGGAACTCGCCGCATTTTATTTTATTTGTAAAAGAACTTAGAGCATAACGCGTTTCTGTCAGTCGCTTCATGTACTCACTTCTTTCGGCTCCTTTGTTATTCTCTCTGCAATTGCATCTTGTTTCTCTCTCATCGCTCGCGGAGCCAGCACGAAACAGAACCATCAGACATTAAGTGAGTAATACTCGTATTTAACTGCGTAAACAATAAAGCCGATTATGAAAATAATTATCATTTTATGCACTTCTCTGTATTCTATTGAATGTGAAATTTAGCATGATATTTATTGGTATTTATATATGGCATGACATATTCATATGTATGTATATTAAATCAAATATATAAATTACAAATTTAAATACTCGTAAGACAAATTCAAATAAATTGCCACAAATACCTCAAAACATATGCAATGTCTGTCCCACGAGAAACGAAACCGCTTTAAAGAAGTATCGCAAAAAAACGGGAATTTCGTTGAATTGAATTTCACTGTGATGGATGCGAGAGGAGTGGAAATTGTCCAAAAACTCAATTCATTGGATTTTCATAAAACATTTACACCTGCTAAAGGCGATAATTTAATATATGATTGAAACAGCTCACGACTTCTGATCTTAAACCAAGTATTCTTTGAGCGCGCAATCAATATCCGTTTAGAGACGAGATGAAGTGAGAAGGCGAACTACTTTTGGTTAAGCGAAGAGCTTTAATCTCTCGAATGCAGGATCTCCTTTGGATAACAATCCCCACAAAAGCTTGAGAGCGTGCCGCTGAGATATGTGGTCTCTTAAGTAGAAGGTTGCCACTGCCAGCTGATTGAAATTCGCGTGAGACTAAAAGGCTGGCGTCATCACTGCAGTTGAAGAAGTGAGCTGTGCGGTAAAAGGACGGAAGAAGGTACAATTCTAACTAGGATAAGCTCTGCACACGATACGTGCATTCTTTTCCTCTGCAAGATACCTGCTAAGATCGGCCTTCACCAACGGCAGATGGCAGAGTGCAATATGGCCAGGCAGATCTGGCCGTTAATCGATACAAAATGAACCAAGTCTCCACTCCTTCTAAATAGAACCTCTACAAGCGTAATAACCGGGGTTTTTGCGGACACTGTTTGAAGGCGACTGTCGTGACTGTAGAACCATAGAGGAGGAGAAGATGGTGGAGTACTACCTTTGTCACTGCCCCGCCCAAAATACAGCCGAAATTGTTTGCTAGTAATTTTCGCTTTTACTACACTGCAGAGTTTACGTCAGCAAGTGTTAAACAATATCGTGTGTTTCATTAAACAAGCCAAGTTGTTTCAGATTTTTGAAAGTTGAGAGGAATCTCTTCTACAGGCTCTCACTATGTATTGGCCCATTATACTCGTCGGCCTAAGTACGCTCGATGAAGGGACCCCGTTTTGGAGCAACATAAATTATTGACTTATAAAGACACTGCGGCTTCACCATCTGAGTCCGGGTGGATGAAAATTCTCCAGCTTTATTCGTTGTATGGGGAAGACTACAACTTCGTCTAAATAACGAGGAGGAGAGCGCGTTGGTTATTCAAAATTTCATCATTTCATCACTGTGGCACCTCCTTGCTTGAATCGAATCACCATTTTGCTATACCAAACCTGTGAGCAGTCTCGATTTTTACGGGACAATCGTTATATGTGTATTTGTCACAAATTCTCTACCAACCTGATAAATAACGGTGCTCGAATTTCGATAAGCTACTTATTGTAATATAGCGTGTACTAATTAAACAACTAAGCGGTTTTAAATTTATGTATATTTAGTTATATTATTATAAAATCATTGCGCGAATTTATGCAAATAGAATTTAGTGCGATGGCTGCAGTAGCCGAGTTGCCAGCAGCACATGCAGAGAATGCAATGAGTCTAACAACCAACCACTCGTCAGGGAATTTAAAGACCGGAAGAGTTTGTGACGTTGGGGAAAAAGCTTAAGTTGGAAGCCTTACAAATCGGAACAGAAGCTTGGCCGAAAGACGCATCAGCGGTTGTTGAGCACCTGGCTTTCTACAAATATATACAATTTACAGCTTACATTTATTTTGCAAAATGAAATTATGACTAAATTACCTAATAATTGCATTTATTACTGTTGCATACATATAAACACATTGATGATTCTACTCGGTTTGGTATTGACACTTTCAAAGCAATTTTATTACAATTTTATTCGGATTTTATTTGCATTGGTGAGATAATATTTGTTTATTTGATTTATTAGCCATTTATTGTACAAATAAATATGAAATCTATTTACGCACATATATGTGTATGCATGTGTTTGCAGATGGGTATGCATACCTCTATGTGTAAGTAAATCGATCGCCTGGCAATTGCTGTGGTACTTCGCACATTCATATAAATTTTATATTTTCCACAAAAGTGCCAATCATATATATATATAATGCCAATGTGGAATGTCTTTGGAGACTACTCACAATCATGGTTTACGAGTGTTTATAGATTCACTTGAAGTTTACTCTAAAGAAAAAAAATCTGCTTTCTTTGTCGATTTCTCATGAGTTACTGACACAGAAAGATGCCGCATTGCGATAGTCTGAAGAGTTTTGGAAACTGGCCGACAAGGGTAATGCTCGAATCAACTTGGAAATGTCCAGAGCAGCATCCATCTTCCTGAATGACAGTGAAAATGCTACACCCGGAGAAGGCGAACCCGTAATCCCAATTGATGATTATGGAAAAGCCATTCCATCATCAGACTAAGACGAGGTTCGCAAGCTGCAGCCCGCTTAAAGAACAACAAAATGGCTAGAACCCCATAAAAACGGGCACTTCGTGGACAGCGCCAGTCCCTACAAAACATATACGATTGTGTCAACTGATGCTGGATATCACCAGTAGTGCAGTCGAAATTGGAAAGGACCTCACCGATGCGTTCAATACCAAAGGTGGTTGCAGACAGGATGACTTTTTTCGATTTCTTTACTTTGATGTTGATTAAAATGCTAAGAGCTGCAGAGCTAAGTTACAATCTTTTCCATTAGTCTACAACTACTGGCGTAAGCTGACGATATTCATATCATAGGGCTTGATAGCCGCGCCGTTAGGTCTGTCTTCTCCAAGCTTTCAAAGAAGGGAAGCCAAATATCTCCAGTTATGAAACGAACAATCGACATTCTTACGGCTTGGCTCCTACGTCACTCTTGACAGTCATAACTTCGAGATCATAGAGAATTTCATCTATCTAGGGATCAGCATTAGCACGAATAATAATGTCAGCCTGTGATACTTTATAGGGCTGAAACGTAGACAATCTCGATATCTTATGAGTTGGTTAGGGGAGTCTTCGAGAAAAAAATTGTGGTAACGATTGATAGCACTTTACCCGGCAACGGTGAATATCGTGACACGGTACCGCATCAGTCGAGGTGCTAGGCTACTAAATCATATATAATGTCGGTATAACTGCTAAATTTTTGGGTCTTAACTATTTCAATGAAACATCTGTGTATGCATGTTAAATTCATTATGAATCGAGTGTGGAAATTCGTAAATTTGCTGGAAAGCCGCTAGAGAGAGCTTGAAATTCAATTTTATAGTTCCCTTATATCGAGCAGCTGATAACTTTGCACAGAAATCATAATGTATGCCGAACAGCAAGGCATTTGGTTGGGGCGATATAGTGGTGCGAGTTTAGAACAGAGAACCCTCGTGCAGCTAGAATTCAGGACGCATGCCTAAGACCACATTTTCGATTTCGCTACGAGTTCTTTTATCCGGTGGCAGCCAAATAAATAGCTTGATGAATTCGTTTATAACGAAATCTACTACGACAGACCACCATATTTCGGGCCTAACGTAGATCACCAACTTCAACATTCTTCCAAGGAATGTTGCTACAATGTTACCTTTTCGTCCACCCTCGCGTGAAAGCGCGATTACCACATCGGGGTTGGGGTGACGCTGACAGGTGTGTGTTTAAGATGCTCATAGGGCGATCCACCTTTGACGTTTTCGTTGAATTTCCTTCACATTTATTGCGCTTTTAATAAGAATTTATATTTTGAGCTGTCTATAGACATACATACAATACATAAATATTGACAAAATAATTTATATTTACTAAATCCACATTGTCATTTCTTCAAATTTTTCCAGATCTTTGCAAATATTTAAGCCTGAACACGTTAATTGCTGGTATTCCATAAAAGTACACTGAGAGAAGCTGAATTTGAAATGAACAACAACATAAAGGAGTTCTCTAGCATAGAGAATCAGCTCATTACGCCCACATTAGGTGAGTAAATTTGAAAAAAATAGTAAATATAATACAAAATAAACTAAAAAAAAAAAAAAAAAAAANTTTATTTTATTTTATTTTATTTTATTTTATTTTATTTTATTTTATTTTATTTTATTTTATTTTATTTTATTTTATTTTATTTTATTTTATTTTATTTTATTTTATTTTATTTTATTTTATTTTATTTTATTTTATTTTATTTTATTTTATTTTATTTTATTTTATTTTATTTTATTTTATTTTATTTTATTTTATTTTATTTTATTTTATTTTATTTTATTTTATTTTATTTTATTTTATTTTATTTTATTTTATTTTATTTTATTTTATTTTATTTTATTTTATTTTATTTTATTTTATTTTATTTTATTTTATTTTATTTTATTTTATTTTATTTTATTTTATTTTATTTTATTTTATTTTATTTTATTTTATTTTATTTTATTTTATTTTATTTTATTTTATTTTATTTTATTTTATTTTATTTTATTTTATTTTATTTTATTTTATTTTATTTTATTTTATTTTATTTTATTTTATTTTATTTTATTTTATTTTATTTTATTTTATTTTATTTTATTTTATTTTATTTTATTTTATTTTATTTTATTTTATTTTATTTTATTTTATTTTATTTTATTTTATTTTATTTTATTTTATTTTATTTTATTTTATTTTATTTTATTTTATTTTATTTTATTTTATTTTATTTTATTTTATTTTATTTTATTTTATTTTATTTTATTTTATTTTATTTTATTTTATTTTATTTTATTTTATTTTATTTTATTTTATTTTATTTTATTTTATTTTATTTTATTTTATTTTATTTTATTTTATTTTATTTTATTTTATTTTATTTTATTTTATTTTATTTTATTTTATTTTATTTTATTTTATTTTATTTTATTTTATTTTATTTTATTTTATTTTATTTTATTTTATTTTATTTTATTTTATTTGATTTTATTTTATTTTATTTTATTTTATTTTATTTTATTTTATTTTATTTTATTTTATTTTATTTTATTTTATTTTATTTCACGATGTTTATTTTGTTTTATTTCACGTTGTTTATTTTGTTTTTATTAATTTTATTTTTATGTATTCTTATTTTTACTTACTTTACTTTATTTTATTTCTAAATTTGTTTTAGTTTAACATCATCCACTCAGTTGTGGCATTCACTCTCGCTTCCTTTATGTGTCCACTCTAACCGCTAGTGAGGCTTCTGAAAAGCTGGCGTTGAGAGCGCTTGAAATGCATTAAGTCATTTAGTATAGTCAAATACAGAAACAATTTAGTAGAAACTTAAGACAAAAACAAAAACACTTCAGTGGAAACTTAAGACAATAACAAAGATATTTATAAACTGCGAAAAAAGGTTTTTATTTAGGACGATCGAAATAAGAGAGAGGCATGACTTTGTGGTGCTACTATATGGTTAACTTCTCTCACATATTTGTAACTTGCCTCTAATTTCTATTAAATAATACGATTTTTCTTTCATTCCCATCTTTATTTTAAAATGTGTAAAATGGAGGAATTAAAAAAAGGCCTTTGATCAAAATAAAATAAATTTTTCTTTGATAAGAGTACATATTTTTTGTCAATTGGTTAGCATTGTACAACACCTCTAGATCCGAATTCCGTGCCCTAGGACACCAAACCTTCTTAACACACTCAAGGACAATTTGCACCAATGATTGCTCTGGCCGAACGCTCAAAATGCTTGAAATAGTTTTCAACGAACGCGTTTTCAAATGTGACTCTGACTCTCTCTCACTCTCACTCTCACTCTCACGCTCTCTACCCATGTTTGATCACAATGAATATTTTCAACGCCCGATTCAACTTATGACTTACAGTAAATTCCGAACGAACTCATAGCGCTTCCAAACCCCCCTGATTACCTCCACGTGCCTAGCCATGTAGCTGATTTGCTGTTAATTATTGGTCTCTCGGCGATGTGTTGTGTAAATTTATAATAGCTGACTGTTCAACTCGTATTTACGTACAGTTAAAGCAAAGTCAACAGTAACTGCTACAACAACAAAAGTAAACAATATTTATTATAAATGTTTGTGAGAAACAAACAAGGCTATGGCCACTTAAAATTTATGGTGTCATCATGATGACAATCATCATCAGCTATTGTGGTGAATCGGTAGAAGTATGAAGAGGGCTCAAATAGAAGTGCGAAGAAAATGATTTAACATGAGCTACAAGTAAGTATTGTGGCTGCAACAAAAGTCATAAATTTCGATTCTTCAATTTTTTCATTCTCGTTGAAATTATTTCTTATGCATTTTAATCATTTGAAAATATGCCATTTAAGGAAGCATCTCAGAAGAGAGTATGAAGACAAGTCTTTCTACAAAGATATTAAATTTTTATTTGGTTAATACTTAATAATGAATATATTTTGTTTAAAAAACTAGCGATTTCGCAGTTCGTTTGGGTTTCCCAAAACAAATATTGAAAAACTCAATAATCTATTCTATATTAACATTTCAATAATTTATTTTATTTGAAAATTTTTGATTAATTTTTTGGGAATATTTGTCAATGTATACTAAATGGTTGAACACTTCTGTGAAAACTCCAAAAGAATCCTCGAACGTTCTTGTATGCTCCGTTGGGCCGTCACTACAACCAATTCCTGTTAAATTTGAATTTTCTCTATTGAGAAACTTCCTGATTCAATCGGATTAAAACACATTGTAACATTTATTATCTGAACTCTAAAAATATGTGCATTTTTACGTAGTCAATGTAGGATTATAATAAATTTATGCAAACCATTTACAAAATACTTAGAATTTTAGCTACTAAAGATCACAAAATGTGTTGGTAGAAGCCGCCAAAAAATCCGTTCAGCAGTTTTTGAGTTTATCGTGAGCAGACAGACAGATAGACGCGCAGAATGACTGTCTCTCTTTTACAACATATAGTGATAAGGAGAGTTTTGTTATTAAAACTCAATTGCTTAAGTCTTAATTTTTATAATTTTATGGTGATAATTTGTTTAACATAGAAGCCTATATCATAGTAAATGTGACGTTCTATGACAAAATGAAAGTCCTTCTCCAATTCTTTAAATTCAAAAATATAAGAATTAAGCTAGAAAAGAACAACAAAAACAGTTCAACTTTTTCTTAACTCTTCTTTTTGCAAAACAGTTAAAAACAGAAGAAAGAAATAAGGAAAGTTGAAAATTATTTTCTCTCTTAACAGTAATATTATTTGAATATTTTAAGGCGCACACCTGGTTTGAAATTTCAAAGAAATCGATACTGCGGTAGATTACACCTTTCAAAATAACATATTAAAATTTCAAATCGATATCTCAAATTGTTTTTGAGTTATAACAATTTCAACAGCAGCCGCTCGGCAGCTAGAGAGTCTCATTCGCTACGAGTAAAAACGATCATTTTATCTTTAAACGCGTTTTTCTCGAAACAGCATTTTCCAAATTTGCTGCAATGATTACTCAAAAACAAATGATTCGATCACTATCGATTTTTTTTTACATGTTCTATATATAGTTCTCCGTACAATGACCTATCGATTTTTGAGGTAAAATTCGACTATTTTTTTTTAAACGCCGCCATATTGTCAATTTTTGATTTTTTTAATCATAGGTCGTTGTGCAGACAATATTATCTAGTAGAGAAGTTTTTTTTTTAGATTTTATCCAAGGGGAAGGCCGGATTCACTGCAGCAGTGAAGGACATCTTTTTCGCGCCGTTGGAGATCGACTATAACTTAAAAAATATTTAATTTTTTTCTTCAAAAATTTCACTGTATATTCTGTATAAATAAATTCTTAAAATTTTGAAATAATTGATAAAGTATTTTTTTTTAATAAAAATTCCCATAAATCACTTTTTTAGGCCAGTACACTAGGTGTGCCCCTTATTAAAATAATAAAACGCTCTAGCATACATTAATTTCAAATAACTGCTGTTACTTTGTTAGGTAATAACAACGATTTCTGTTGCATAAAAATAGTCATTATTTTGTCTAACGTCTTTGAAAGTTAGTTGAAAAATCTCGTTGCAAAATTTTGTAGGTGTTTTTTTTGACGGCGCGGATACGCATTGAATGTATTTGAGTGAAACCGAAATACAGTTGAATGTTTTTGCCGTCTAATTTCTTATTTGCATTGTACGAAATCTGTTATACAACAAAGCTTATATTTTTTATCTTTAAGACTTCGTTTAGAGTTTTTAGCCATTACATTAACAATATATTTTTTTGTTTTCATGTCTTTCAGATGAATCGACCATACAGAAATTTTATAAGGATAAAGGTGTTTTTCTTACTGGTGGAACAGGTTTCTTCGGAAAAAGTGAGTAATTTTACTATCAATAAAAGAAATTATTTTCCTAATGTTATTTATGCGATGGTAGTGTTGTCATAGTGCCTTGTGGAATTGTGTTGTGGAAAACCGAAGACAAAGTTTTGACACCCTTCAAAAAACTCATTGAATGTTACTAGAGGGAAAGTAACGAACTCAGCGCATCGAATTTTTTGTAAACCTTCTCCTTATTGATTTTTTCCCAGGAGCTTTTAAAGTTTAATCCGTCGACGGATATAGGCTTTGTTGAACTAGAAGAAAATCGGCGCGAAATAGAGATTAGACGTGGTAATGCGAGGTCCTATCACTTCTGTTCAGTTTATGACGTTCAAGTTATCGTCAGTGGCAAGAATCTGGCAACATTTGCCTGGCGAATCAGGCAGAATTAGACACTTAAAACTGGTTGAAAAAGTGGTACTTAATGTTGACACCGTTGAAACAGACCTAGTGCACAAGGTTGTAAATATTCCAGAGCCTGAAGTTAACCCAAACTGAGAAGCACCATTTAACAACCGAAACTAAGCAATAGCTGACTGGAAATTATGTTGGCCAACAAGAGGTCGCTGTAGCTGAAGGAACCGTAGACTTGGGGTGCTATTGAAGCTCTATCGTGTTGTATCTTCATCATTGCATCAATGCTTAAATGTCATTATCGTAGGGTGGAAAGCTTGTCTTTTATGTTAAACGAAGTTATAAGACTCAGATAATCAGTCTGGGGGATTGATGGATATATATATAAATATATGAACATAAGATATATTAGAACAGGACATAAATATGAGCGTAACAGTCCATTTAGGGAATATTGCTTAGGTAATGCTCTTGTATCAATAGCCCATGGAAACAAGCAAAAATTTACAAAATAATGGAAAGTTTTGCGAGAGCCAAGTGCCAATCCGTCAGGTCATGGCTTTTAATACATTCAAAATTATTGAAGAAAATGTCTAATTACAGTCTCTGATCCTTCAAAATTTCTCAGGCTTCTCTTACGGTCATTAGCAGGGTATGTCTTCGAATTAAATTTGACTGAGGAAGTTGTGGAGTTCACATTACGTAGTGAGAATAAGCTAGAAAGCCTTATAACAGCGATGGCGAAAGAGCCAAACCACATACCTCCATTCGTTAAAATAATAACCTTTGAGCTAGAAAGAGAAGTTTGAGGGCATAGTCTGTTAATTCTTAAAAAGTTCTTAAACACTTGGACTTTATGTTGAATCATATGGCTGTCTACTCAAGGAATGAATTTTCCAAATTAAAGCGGTTGCTCGGCTTAGGTCGTATAAGGGTTGCCGGGCAACATTGTAGCGTCTGTGTAAAACTATACGAGGGATCGACTTTACCTAGCCGAATATAACCTAGGATAGGAAAATAAAACTTCTTGTAATTGCCGAAGCGATTCTCGGCCGTGCTGATCTTTTAGCACTTGGTGTACATCTTGATTTGTTTGCAACAAAAGAAAAGTTTACTCTGAACCGCCACCGATTGGTCGATGGATTTATACACTCAGAGAGCTTAATATTTCCTATCGAAGGGGGAACGCAATTAGGATAATAAATTTTCTATAATTTGGAACGTTGGTCTGATCAGGACTCGAAGCCTGATCATTCGAATGTTAGTACGTAGTGCTAACCTTTCGACCAATGCGCCAGCCTTGATTCTCCTTGATTACTTTCTTTCATTAAAGGTCTCAATCTTTAAAGGAGCTCGACTCGAATTTTCATTAAAAAAAATATAAGAAAAAGAAAGAATCGTTTGTTATATTGAGAAAAAGTACACAACAAAGGCCTATCAAAATATTTTACGCACTTTTTGAATTTTGTTACAAAGGTAAAATATATTTCATAGTTCAATTAATATGAACCGTTTTATTCAACACAAAAAAGCTTATAATTTCTTGTGTCCATATTCTGCTTTCAGTCATAATCGAGAAATTACTGCGCGTCACCGATGTGAGCCAAATCTATCTACTTATACGCACAAAAAAGGGTAAAGATGCCTATACCCGCATCGATGATCTATTCAATGATCCTGTAAGTAAAAAATGCCATACAAAATCATTTCAATTGAAAAAATACATAACCTAAAAACTTAATTTTCTTTCATCACTACACCTTTTCGCATTTTATTAGTGTACTACAATACATTTTTTTTCTATCAATACGCTTTCCTCCTCATTTATTTCGTTTTTCACATAATTTTTCAATATTTTTTCCCCCTTCTATGCATCCTTTGGCGCGCAAGGTGTTTGAGAAATTGAAAAAATGCAATCCCAAATATCGGCAGAAAATCACTATCATCAGCGGTGATTGCTCGCTGCCAGCATTGGGCATCACGCAAACGGAACGTGAGCTAATCAAGGAGAATGTAAACATTGTCATTCATGGGGCGGCGACGGTGCGTTTTAATGAGAAATTGAAAATGGCCATTGCCATAAATGTGAATGGTACAAAGGAGATATTGCAGTTGGCCAAGGAGATTGTCCACTTAAAGGTAAGCTGACCGTAATTGAATGAAGGATACAATCAATCCAACCAAACACACCAACACATGTGCGTGAAGGGAACGTTACGAAGGAATTCAGGGAAAACTTCGATTTTCTGTAGAAATTGCATGTGCGAAGCTCTGCAATGTGTTAATGTTTGTGTGTGCGTGTGCGTTCATCGCATTGTGAAAGCAATGTTTTTTTAGTAAGCTTTTTCAATTTGTCTGCCAAAAATACCAACAACTTGAACGTATACATACTTGTGTACATACGAGTATGTAGTATTGTATATCTATGTATGGTTCATCTCTTTAGGTATATTGCTTCACAGTTTATGGTTATTCAGAAGAACTAAATTATTGAATTTCAAATAAAAATTTACATATTTAAATCTATACACAATGGAATGCATACGTATATATATATATTAATTTTTTTTCAACAAATGGAGGGACCTACAGTTTATACTAAGCCGCCTAAGCGAACGGCTGATGGTTTTTTTTTACGAGGAGCCTTTTTTTCAGGTCAGAAATACACTCATGTGGAGACTGACATTCCCTGCCAAGAGACGACCGCAATTAGAAAACTTAGCATAATTTTTTACTTAAATTAATTTTCTATAACTTTTGGATGTTGGTCACTCGGGGATTTTTTATTTTATATAATTTTAAATTGTTTTGTTTTTTTACTTTATTTGATTTGATTTTATAATATTTTTTTTTTATCTTGTTTTATTGGATTTTATTTAAATTTATTTCTTATTAAATTTAAATTTTTTATAGTAGTTTAGTTGTAATTAGTTTTGATTTATATAATTTTTATTTATGTAAATTTAATTTTTTTAATTTCAATTAGAATTATTTTTTATAACTGTATTTTTTTTTTTTTTTAATTTAAAATATTCAATTTTACTTTATTTTGAACTAAACGATTTTAATTTATTTTACTTTATCGCTTTTAATTTTTTTTGTTATTGAGGTTAATTGAGATTTCGTCTTTATTTAAATTATTTTATTTGTTTTATATAATTTTTTTAATTGTATTTTGTTTTTAATTTAATCAAAGAATTTTTTTGGTCTAGATTTTTTTGTTTAGATATAAATAGTTTTATTTATTTTGTTTTATTTTTTTTTGACATTATTTAGTTTTATTTTTGTGTTCATAATTTTAACTTATTTCATTTTAAGACTTTGCTTTCTTTCTTCTTTCATTTCATTTCTCTATATTTAATTTTCCTTTTCATTCTGATTTGCTTCATTTTATTTAATTTTTTTTAATTATACTCCTTTGTTTTATTTAATATAAATTAAATTTAATTTTTATTTAATTAAATTTTATTTTGTCATTTTATTCAACTTTTTTATTGTATTTGAATTTATTAAAAAGTTTTTTAAAATTAAATAACATATTTTGTATGGCTTTGGCTTTCATTGAGATATTTATATATACATTTATGTATTTGAATATACAATACTTTCAAATAATTATTCTAATTCGTCTCTTTCTCTTTTATCCCGTTGCTACTTATTGCCGCATCCGTAATCCACCATTTAGGCAGTCGTACACGTCTCAACCGCCTTTGCCCACTGCAATCACCGCTACATACAGGAACGATTTTATCCTAGCAATATTACTGGTGAGAGTGCCTGCAAGTTGGGTGATTGCCTCGATGAGCATACACTCAACGAGCTGACAGCCTCCATAATCAAAGGATATCCGAACACGTACACGTACACGAAAGTCCTTGCTGAGGATATTGTGCAAAATTATGCGGAGAAATTGCCAGTGACGATATTTCGGCCAGGCATTGGTAAGATTTATTTAACTAAATTGACATTTCTGCAACAACAAATATCGTAAGCTCAAAGTAAGAAGGAAAACCCAAAATGAAAACAATATTAAGAGCAAATAAATCCAATGGCAATTGTAGAAACAGCAGCATGGAGCAATGGTAGGAAATTGCTTTTGCGGTTAAGTTTAGATTGTTGTTGCTTTGCTTGCATTGCAGTCTTCGAATAAGTGGAGAATAGGTAGTTAGTAACAAGGCATTTGTTGGCTTTTGGTCTAACGTTTAATTTGCAATAAAGTAGATTCTGTCCAGGTGGTTCTTACTCAGTAGAGATTCCGGTGTTGCAGTGCAGGCGACTGACTGCCAGTTTGACAATTTGTAATACAAGTGGTAATCCCTATTTGCCAAATGGGTCAATTTAGTGTAACAATGTCAGATGATTTTAGTAAAGGATTTCTGTTTTTCTCTTGGAAGTCAACAAGCTATTTGCCGAATCTGTGCAAAACAATTTACAAATGTGTTAATCTTAATTTCGATTTCGGAAAAGACTTTCTGTAACTAACAAAGCGTGTATTGATCACATGTTTTCCATAAGTTCCAAAGCTGAAAAGTTTGAAAATATCGTAAATAGTTTNAAAAAAAAAAAAAAAAAAAAAAAAAAAATAAGTTCGAAATAGAAAAAATTTTGTGGTTTTAAAAGTAGAGATCTGTATTTCGAATGCATTTGTCCAACTTAGCTGTCATGCAAAACATGTTTTGTTTTCATTAAAAGTGCGTTAAGAGGTGATTATGAAGCACATTATCGGCCAACTATTCAAGCAATTAGTAAAATTGTACATAAATTTTATGTGACTGGATCAGTTACAGACATTGCAAAGCCTGTGCACCATCGTTTTGCTCGTTCGACCTAAAATTTTGCTACTATAAGTGAAGCGGTAGCCAAATACCCGAATGTGCGTATTTCTCTATATTCTCAAGAGCTGGGACTCTCTTACGGCACATTATGGCATATTTTGCACTTGGACTTGCACCTACCTCCAAATAAAGTTCAGCTCACATATTCATCGAGTGTTCGCCTTTAATGATTTTTGTATTACAACTTTGGTAATTTGTAAATTTAAATCGAATTCAAGAGGATGAGGAGCTGACTGGGCAAACTCTTTATAAAAATCTCATAATTGCGTCGTCTAAGTCAGATAAATTTCAATCTAACCGCCAAATATTATATATTGATCTCGAAACCCTGATCTCGTAATGACACCTATGTTGGTTCTGTGAAGAAGATTCCTCTCACCTTTCCAGATGCTCAAGCCGCTTGGTGTGTTTTACAAAGTTCAGGAAATTACTGAAGCCTAGAGATGCGAGCTATGCTAAGCAATCGTAGAAAAAAATTTCCGAGAAATCATTAACGATTAACCGCACTTAAAGCTGGGCAGTCGCAGAAAAGTTTTTTCAGAAAAAAAACCCATCTTTCTACAGTGTCCAGTTCATACGCCGGTAGTTATGCTTATGGCGATCCTACTTAGAAGGAGTAAAGACTTCACTTCGATCTGCTCTTGAGCCTTCTGGTGACAGCAAGACTTAAGAAATACTTAGCCATGGAATGAGGTATGTCATGCCGTAGCAAAGTTTACCAATATTACGACTATCCCTATCCGATATCAACCTGTTTCTTACCTATAAGTCTAAGCCTCGAAAAATAGTGAAAATGTCAAGTCTTTCCATTTTATTTATAACACAAATCAGTTTCTTACTTCTGCCGCCTAAGGAAAACGGCTTAGAACATATAATTTAATAGCTCCAGATTTATTCAGAAGATAACCCCAAAAATAATAAAAAAAAATCTCAAACATTTCTGAGCCCACTTGTTTAGTGTCAGTCAAAGTGAAACTACCTTATAGAATTTTTATATCATGAGATCTATCATGGAAACTTTACTCATTTCGCTCACTCTCCCGCTCCCGCTCCCACTCTCACTCTTACATTGTATCTCTTCTTTTTCTCAGTTATCACGACATACAAGGAACCAGTGTCCGGTTGGATCGATAACATGTATGGACCATGCGGCATGATTGTTGGCATCGCCTCCGGTGTACTGCGTGTATTCAGTGGGAGGGTGGACAGCAAAGCTAATCTAGTACCCGTGGATTTGACAGTGAATGCGCTTCTAGCAAGTGCCTGGGATATAGCACGTAACACGTGAGTGTTCAAATTGAAATTAGAAAAGAAAAAAAATCTCCTGAGTATAAGTATTTCCTTGCTCTTTTTGTTCTTAATTATAAATTTTTAACTTTGCAGTTACGACGAACCGCCCATTTACAACTACGTGCCAGACGCTGACAATATGGTCACCTGGAGAGAGTACATGGTTTATGGCTTCGAATATGGCTGCAATATACCAATGCACAAATCCATTTGGTATCCCTGTGTCACAATCGTTCCCTGGCGTTGGCAGTTTGTGATTTTGTCATTTCTATATCACACAGTGCCAGCGATGTTTATGGATTTGTCCATGATTGTTGTTGGGAAAAAACCCAGGTGTGTAAGAAATTGTGAGCGTTGAGAGAAAATTATGGAGAGATTTAAGAAAATATGTTTATGTTATAATATGTTTATTTTTTTGATTTTCAGAATGTTGAAGATTTATCGTAAAATACATCAATTCTGCGGTGTGATGGAATACTTCGCCTCGAATGATTTCAAATTTGATAATGATAATGTCCGCATGCTATCGGCGAAATTAGAGGGTGCAGATAAACAGATATTCGGTTTCGACATGCGTTATATTGATTGGAAAGAACTCTTTCGAGTCAGTTTGGTGGGTTTGCGCTTGTACGTGGTGAAGGATGATCCACGAAGCGTGCCGGAATCGATAAAGCGTCATGCGCGGTAAGTGAGGAAGCAGGCGTGGGCATATTGAAACTAATTTAATTTTTAAATGGCCTCGCCCATAATGGATGTGATGGGATTTTTGATAGAAATCGTTATCAAAGCTAACCTTTGTATTAATATGAAATAGTAATTTATCCAAAGCTAGGTAAGAAAATTTTAATAATTTTTGAACCCTGAATTTTCTGTTTTCCAATACAAAACAAAGGCAAAGATGATAAGTAAAATTCAGATTACATTTTTGTTGTACAATCTTTTTGTCTTAATAATGTCAAATTCTTAAACTGCAGAGCTTTTATTTTTACTTTTCTTTTTTTTTCAGACTAAAATTGCTGCATTACTCAACGCTCTTCATTATATACTCAGTGGTGTTAGCGTTATTATATAAGATTATAAGCTTTTTTATATTTTAGCATTCAAATTAGTTGATTTTTAATATTAATATTGATATGCATTTTCCAATTATTGTTTTCTACATAACTACATTTATACGGAAAAGGAAGTACAAAATTAATAAAAATCCGCAATTGGGAAATTATCTTTGGAATTCGTAGAAACTAATATACCAGTATATAAACATAATATATACATATGTAGGATACTCTTTCAATAAAAACGACGATATTTAAATTTACCACCTATTTTTTGATTTATTTATTGGTCTAGAGAAAATAAAAAGAAGAAAATATTTTACATAAAAGTCAAATAAAATAAAATTAAATTATTTAATATAAAATTAAATAAAAATAAATAAAATAAAACAAAATAAAATTAAGTAATGTAAAATGAAATAAAAAAAATTAAATTAATTAAAAAAATAAAAAAAAAAATAGTTTTTCTCTCTATGAAAAAAAAAAATTAAATAATATTTAATAATTTACTTATTATTACAATTAAAAAAAAAATAAAATAAAATAAATTAATTAAAATATCAGGTGAACAACTTTGCTTCCGCCGTTTTTTTTCCAAAATTAAAAGCTTTATTGCGAAAAAATGCTTACAGATATATTATTCAAAGTATTATCCTTCGCTAGCGACAACTTTCTCCCATCTTTCCGGCAATTTTCGGATCCGGGCTCGAAAAAAAAGAGTCCTCTTTTGACGCTATCCATGAAGCAATCAATTTTTCCAATTCTTCGAAGGATTGAAAATGTTGATCTGCCAGGTCGTGTGCCATCGAACGAAATAAGTGGAAGTCAGAAGGGGCGACATCTGGGGATTACAGCGGGTGGGGCATGACTTCCCATTTCAGCGTTTCCAGGTACTTTTTGACCACTTTTGCGACTTGAGGCCGAGCATTGTCGTATTGGAACATGACTTTGTCATGTCGCTCTTGATATTGTGGCCACTTTGCTTTTAGCGCGCGACTAAGGCGCATCAGTTGCGTTCGGTAGCGATCTCCTGTGATGGTTTGGCTCGAATCTTCTTAATGTTTTTAGTTGTTCATCTTTGAAGGTTTTTTCTCTTCCACCACCATGTTTGTCTTCGACATCGAAATCACCATTTTTAAAACGTTGAAACCACTCCCGGCACGTTCTTTCACTCAGAGCAGCATCACCGTAAGTTTCTGAGAGCATTCGATGCGCTTCAGCTGCATTTTTTTTCGAATTGTAACAGAAAAATAAAACTTCCCGCAAATGGCGAGAATAAGGCACATAAACGGACGAAAACAAGAACAACTGTCACTGAAACGGCGATGACAATTCGTTAGGCACTGTACACACTCACCGAAATTATTAAATAAGCCATAAAAAAATAAAATAAATTAAATTCAAATAAAATAAAATGAAATAAAGTTATTGTAAATAAAATAAAATATAAATAAAATATATAAATGAAATAAAATAAAACAAAATAATATAAAGAAAATAAATTAAATATAAAATAAAAAATATATATAAAATACAATAAAATTATTTAAATAAAATAACAAAGAGAGTAAAATAAAATGAAATAAAGTGAAATAAATTGCAGTAAAATTAAATTTAGTAATATAAACAAATAACATAAAAAATCAAATAAAAAAAATTTTTTAAATTAAACAAAATAAAATAAAATAACATGAAATTATTTAAAATAAAATCAAAAATAAATAAAAAATAAAAGTAAAACGAAATAACATGAAACGAAAATAAAATAAAATAAAATAAAATAAAATGGAATGAAAAAATAATATAAAATAAAGTGAAATAAAGAAATAAAATGTAATAAGACAAACTAAAATAAACAAAATAAAATCAAATAAATTAAGATAAAAAATATTGTGAATCATATGAATGATATTTATCTTATCAAGTTACTATGGTATTTTACCTGGTCACAGAAATATTTACAATTCTAAGGAATTCTGAGTAATTCGAATTGGAAAAGGATAACCAACGACACGTTTTAAGCGGCTGATGATATCACTGTCTACGTAAACGTTAAAGCTGAATGGATCAGATGACTATGCAGTTTATCAGAAAATTAGAGGAGGAACAAGGTACGAACTCAGATTTAAAACTGGTGGTCTCGCTCATTAATTTTATATTACATTAACAGCAGAAGCTTCAGAAGCCCGGCCAAGGTGAATAAGTCTTGTATAACCAGTACCGGCGAGTATAAAAATAACTTTTTTTTTTCATGCATTTGCAACTTATGTTCGTTGGGTTATAGCATATGAAAGCAGTTAGTATATGTATATAATATATACATAAATAAATGATATGCTATGCCATATACTAATCCCCGACACTTTCGTTAATGCCAAAAATTTAAATTGTTTGCCAACACATTGTCATTGCACATTCCATGAATTACGCAAAATTTACATACAATCTGATTTATGTATGTATGTGCATGCATTGGTATCATAAGCCAGGCATTCACTAATTATTTGTAATTTTAATATCAATATCTATGGTTGTAGTTTTTGGAGAATTACAATTTTGTAAAGCCTAAAATTTCCCAATTTCAAATTTCCAAAATTTTACATATACATATTTACATATTCCAATATATACCTACACGTATATATGAGAATGTAGAGTCGGTAGTGTTGTAAGTATTTATGCAGATGCACTCGTAATATAAGTATGGATATGTATTTACATACGTAAGTTTAAGCTTTTAGTTATATTAATATATTTATGTAAATGTGCATATGTACGCGTAGATAAAATTCACCACATTCTGTAATAACTCCTTTAATAAGCTTATGAAATTCCTCACAAATTTAAATTCAAATTGTCCTTCGCATTTCGGTGGTTCGCACTGCTGCACGTTTACTTATATACACATAACGAGCCGAGTAACGCTATGATAAAGCTCTAGTTGTGAACTAGTATTTTAAAGATAATGTTATACTAGTTCGGTTTTGGTAACGTAGCAGCAAACCAGTAATGCTTACATGCTTTGAGGCTCAGGCCTCAATCTTAGAGTCGGACTTACATCTGAAAACTTATAGAAAATTAATTTAAATAAAAAAATAAGCAAAATTTTATAATTGCGATCACCCCCCGACAGAGAATATCAGCCCCTCCGAGTGTATTGGTGACCTGAAATGAAGGCTTCTCATAAAAAAATCATCAGCCGCTCGGAGGCGGCTTAGTTTAAACTGTAGCTCGCTCCATTTATTGGAAAGAAATCAAGACGCAAAACCCCAGATTATAGACGTACCTCGGCTGTATCCATCAGCGAAACAATTCGTGTCTTGTTGGCTAACAGAGGACGCTATATGCCCCATATCCTTGTTGTAAACGAAAAAGCAGTAACATCTCGCTGCTTAGGCCCAATGAAATTTATCTAATTGGCATATGCGAAAAAGCTGGGAATTTTACTTCGATATCGCACCGGGGTTCTGCAACACACTTCAGTCACAAACTTAAAGAGATCGCGCGACAAAGAGTCGCCTTGTCAAAAGGCTCGAATAGTTTTAAAAGCTCTGGAGATATGATTTCTATTTTGAGAGAGCCGGTAGTGTTGTTCAATGTCAGCAAAGCCGAATAAGCTTCGCAGGAATACCGCACACAAACATGGCCTTTTTATCTCTTAGTGAAATATTGTATGCAGCTATGAAATCGACAAAGAGATAATGGGACTAGCTGTTTTTCTTGGGTCTTTTCCACGATTTGACCTAATGTAGCAATCTGGTCCATGGTGGACTCAGCAGGTCTGAAGCCGCGTTGACTAGGTTCTACCAGTCAGTTGCATAGTAAGCTCGACAATACCCGGCGGGCTTCACTACTGTTGGATGGTAGGATGTCTATTCAGTCGCTCTTGATTGGTATCGAGTTGCTTGGTCCAGCGGCGGGAATGGAGCTTAGCGAAATTTTCACTTCATGAACTCAGTAGGCACCATATATCTGCATTGGCACCGTCGTTTTGTGTGCTTGAAACCAACAGTTCTTTCAGCGACAAATTCCGACAATATTATCATGACGTCGACGTCGTCTATTAGAAATGTGGGAACGTCCACTGCACTTCCTTTCCATCGATCACAATGAGAGTATTTGGTTGCGTGAACACTGAACAGAAAAGGAGACTATAGATGTCGAGGTCTTGTAATTTGGTGCTGCTGACTATCATATTTCGTGGTGCGGCTTAAGACCATTGCTCGAGAAGGTGTCGTGGAGGCTGAACAGACGCCCGACGGTGGGGCTATATACAGTAGTATATATATAGTAGTAGATTCGTGGGTTCAGTAAAGGACGTATGTCTCCTTGAGTTTTATATAGATTGCATTCTTAACAGAATTGTTCTCTTCTTCTTCGTCCGCATGTGTGCGTAAACTAAGGAACTTATCGAATGTATGAATTGAGACTAATCAATCGTTCATTGGTGGAAACCTGGAAAGGTGAGGAAGCCTTCTACTTACTACGAATCCGTAACCGAATTCGCGCTTACTTGCTTGGAGCAGTCTTGATCCGACGCTGATAGGGTTCCCAATGGACGTAAACTTGCGACATTAGCGCACATTTCCACCCAAACTAGCGCACATTCCCAGTTAACGTCTAGCGAAGGCAGGAAAAGATAGGCGGCACCAACTCGCCTTGTCCGTGCCACACTTATCACAACCCAGCTGAACACTTGCTGCTTGCCTGAAACTGCTTAAATTCTACACAGATGTCACATAGTGATGGCTCGCTTTATTTTTTTAAACTTTATTGCGTGCAGCCTAAAAAAATCTATTAAATGTTTGTGCACTCTAATTAAAAAAAAAATTATATATTAACTCTTCAGGAGCAAAGTGTAATATTCCTTTAGGATTTTTTCGTTTAAGCTCAAGATTGACTTTTAGCCAAGTCATTTCCCAGACCCATCTCGTTCATAAACGTATACAACGTGAAGGAAAATTTAGCCAACTTGAGAGAAAAGTAAAGAAAAAAATTCTTCAATAAATTATTCAAATCACAAAGCATTATGTAACTCACCGACAAATTAGTTTTCAAATTAATTTGAAACAGTTTCAATGCAGTGAAGGCGATGTCCTCCTGAGCGCGTTGCATGAAATACACAAGTAATGTACGAGAACGTTTATCCAAATTCAACCAGTTGCAATGGAATATTGCCGTGGCCAAGCTTGAACTTTCTGCCTCCAGCATCGATGCTTGATAGCAGGAGCCGCCAGTCTGCAGCAAAACGCCCATGTAGTAAATAATCGTGATAATCTGACCAATCCTCTCTGCGAATATTAAAACATTCAACATACAGGCGCAGAGAGTAGCAGCGGCCATGGCGAATTGCAGGAATATTGTTAAAGAAGTGATAGCACCAACGACATCCACGATACTTAGGAAATAAACAAAAGTGAAAAAAATAATTAAAAATTGAAATAAAATATTTTAAGAGACAAATTAAATAAAACAGCCATCCAGGAATATTTTCTTCACAGAAGAATCCGGCCATAATGTTACAGTTAATATTCAAGTTACGGAAAAAATTGCAAGAATTCGCTGCATCGGTACTCGGTACTCACCGAGATTATCAAAAAGTTATCAGTTTAAGTTCGAACTATGCAGATGTGAAGAAAAAGTTACGTCGCTGCAGTCATTTGAATTCATCAAAATTGATAAAAGAACCTCAACTTTTGCCACGGTACGAGTAAGTGCGTCTACAAGGTTAGAGATTTAAGCTCATCTCATCGGGCAAAAACGAAATTAAATCTCGTTCAACCAGAAAGAGTTCGCTTTGCTTTTCTAAACGCAATTTCGGAGTATGTTTTGTAATAGTGTGTGGAATCTTCACGTCATAAGCTACGTTAGATTTATAGTTCATATCGCAACGAATTAATTGCAGAGACTACATTAAAATACGGGCAAACAGCCACCTCCCTTTTGTTGGGACTTACAGGCAGATATAACTTATTTTCCAACAGCCGATTTTTCACAGATTAATTCATACAAAATGTGGTCTTTACTCTCCGGACTCAAGCCCTATAGGTTCTCTGCACAGGTTAATATGTAGAGAACTTTTCTTTCAACCAAGTAGTGCTTGAATAGCTTGAGAAGCTGGCCGGCAAGATAGTGCCCGGAAAGTCTGGTGACCGATGCCAAGGACATATCTGCTGTATGGAACATTTCTCTAGCCCGTTGAATGGTAGTGAAAGTCCTATACTCGGAGTCGGTGAACCCGAAACCATAATCGATGATGAAAGAAACGACGTTCTTACGACGTCCTTACCCGACTATGACGAGGTTCAATTAGCGATTACTCGTTGTAAGTACAACAAAGCAGCTAGAACTGATAGCCTATCGGCAGATCTATTCAAACATGGAGCTCAAGAGCTGACAAGGTTCACTACTTTGCAGAATATGGTCACACAAAAGTATGTCCGATGGCACCACTTAGATTCTTCGAGTTCCTGCAAAGCTTATACGGCTATGCAAGCTGACACTGAATACCACAACAACCGTTGTCAGGGTTGGGACGGACCTTTTCGAGCCGTTCGGTACCTACCTCTTTTATCGTGGGATTTCTTTAATTTGATGCTGGCGTATGCCGATGACATTGATATCATAGGCTTTGTCAAATGGTTGGTTCTACCTTCTTCAAGCTTGACGAAGATGCAAAACGAATGGGTCTGTTAGTAAACGAGGATAAGACGAAATGTCCCGTGTTATCAAATAAACAGTAATTTCTTTCGTAACTCGGCTCCTACATTACTGTTGACGGTCATAACTTTGAAGTCCTAGATAACTTGGTCTATCAATGCCAGCCTTGAAGTCCAACGCAGAATTATGCTTGACCACAAGGGCTACTATGGACTGAGTAGGCAATTAAAAATTCTTTCGACGAACCGAAACCAAACTTCTAGGTTATGTATATCGATTGAACTTATATTATTTTTAGTAATGTAGGCTGATGGCACCATAGTCCAATTGATAAATGAAAGAAGCCAATACTTACTTACAAAATGTGCTACAAACCACATGCATAACATTTATATAATATATACATACATATATATACATATATATACTCACTACAATATTTCCCGATGCGCTACAATACAATCGACAAGTTCCCTATGATGCTCTTCAGCGCTAAGTTCGGGATTACTGCCCACGCGACTAACACGCTCAGCCAACAGCTTAACATGGGTGCGTAAGGCGCGCATATAAATCACCGGAAACACATCATTTGTATAGCTGACATTTAACATGAAATGGATAAAAAGTGCCTCAAACGTGAACTGTAACCAATAACGTAGCGTTTCGTTTGGTATAGAGTCGAAGTATGGAAACCACAAATAATGCGGCATTTTACCGGCAATCAACGCACCCAACCAGGTCATGACGGCATAACCTGAATAAACTGCACAATAAAAACAGATTATTTGTCGGCAAATGATTACTCCTTCATCTATTTGTGCGCGTTCCCTGGGATTGTGGTAGCGATCATCCAATCGATTGAATACCTCCGTTAGAGTGCGTAAGCGATGCATGTGTTTTGCAATGACCACCGCCTTGAAGGGTGCAACCATTACATCTAGAGTTGCTTGTAAATTATATAATGCTGTTGTTATTGTCGAAGTAGATAAGGCAATTAAGAAGCCCTTGAAGTAGGTTACCGGCGCGAAAAACTTCAAACACCAGCATATGGTCATATGCAATATGTGCCCAAGGCGATGTGGCTTCCAACTCGTGTTGCCGTTCAGCCACCAATTTAGGTATAATAAATCGAATGAGTCTTTCGTACTGAGGCCAACACGATCAAAAATAACGGCACGTAATTTATCCATTTTCGCCTGATTTCTGCAAAGGATGAAAAATGGAAAAGTTTACCTTCTTTTAATTGAAAATTTTTCGCATTACGCATTTTTTTTTGGAAAAATTTCAAGAAAAGCCGCAGTAACACAATTGCATGCTGCGTTTTACGATGTAGCGGTTTTTTTGAAACAATTTTTCCGGTATATAACACTGAATTGCTTTCATATTGTTAGTTTTCAACAAAAACTTGTCCTTTATTTTTTTTTATTTTATTTTATTTTATTTTATTTTATTTTATTTTATTTATTTTTTTTTTTTTTTCGTTCGGAGGCGGCTTAGTATGAACTGTTGGTTCCTCCATTTGTTGGAAAAACATCAAGACGTAAAACCACAAAGTGGAGAAAGAGTTCGGCTTCCGAGGGGCGACCGCAATTAGAGCATTTGACTAAAATTTCTATTTAAAGTAATTTTCTATAACTTGTGGACGGCAATGTGAGCCCGAGCCTTCCGAAAGTTTAATTTACCTAAATTTATTTTTAATTTCGTTTTACTTTATTTATTGATTTTTTTATTTAATTAAGTTTTTTTTCAGTATTATTTAGTTATTATGTATGATTTATGCATTAAGTTAAAAAGAGTTAAGAAAGGGCATCAAGCAAAGCAGAAAATATGTACAGTAAGTCAGTTATTTGTTTGCTAAATGATAAAGTCAGAAAAATATCTTTTCAAATTTTATATTATAAATGAAAGTATTTTATTTTCCTTTTTTTATTGATAATTGATATTATTAATCTCAGTATTCTTAACAAATATCACTCGCAGAAATAACAAACATTAAGTAAAAAATTAGTAAAAAAAAATAACAAATCTAAAACAAAACAAAATGCCCACACAATTCAAAATAAAAGGTAGATCACTTAACGGTACCACAAATTTGAAAACGAGCGAACGCGTGCGTCATAGCTATGCATTGCTCTATTACAAGGAATTAGTGGATATGTTTTCCATCAAGCTTAGAACGAAAGGAAAACACCGAAACCTTCTAGACGCGATCATTCAAAAATTTTTTAACATATCAGTGATATTCCTCAAACCACCCAGAGAAAATTGGAAAATGATTGCCATAAAACAGTAAGTCACGAGACAATCTGAAAAGTCTTAAAAATACCCAAGTACTCTTCGTAAATAGCTAGAAAGAAACCAATGCTTACAGGACTGCAGAATACTGGGATGACGTTTGTTTTTGCGACGTGACATAAATAATGTTATGCCATCATGATGGACCCAGTAAAGTTTGGAGAAACCCCAACTCAGCTTTGCAACAGAAAAATATAATCCGACAGTAAAATTTGGTAAGCTTTCTGTAATGGTTTGGTGTTGCATTTCGTCGAAAGGTGTTGGTGAGCTCCGAATTTTTAATGACGTAATGACGAAGGAGTTTTACTTGGACATTCTAAAGAACGAATTTTCATGTAGTGCGATAAGATTTGGATTTGTTGACCATGAAACCCCTAATTAATTACTAGAACAACGATCCCAAACATAAATCATAACTGTGCAGGACGGGGCTACTATGTAATTTCTTTAAAGTGATTGATACTTCTGCACAGAGTCCTGACTTAAGCCCCATAGAAAATGTATGGGATTTTTTAAAGAAGCGAGTGAGCAGATGGGGCCCAGCTAATAAAAGCGCTCTTATTAAGCTCATTCAGGAAGATTGGAAGAAAATACCTGAAAATTATGACTTAAACAACCTTATTCAGTCCATGTTCCGTCGTTTTCGAGCTGTTATAGATGCAAGTGGCCATCATACCAAATATTAGTACCAACACTTCTATATTTTCCCAGTTTTAATTATATTTACAATAATTGTTTATAAAAGGCAAACAATTAATTCACACCCTAATATTTGCTGTCTTTTGAATTTTTATTTCTCTTTTACTTTTATGTCTTAAATTCTGGAATTTGTGTGAATTATTTATGTTAAGATTACTCAGATTTATATTATTAAAAAAAATGAAATTAAAGAAAATTGTTTTAGTTAATAAAAATTAAGTGGAAAAATGAATGTGTCGATTTTTTACATTTCGCAAACAATCAATTGACATACTGTATGTCATATATATGTGTACATATGTACATACGTAAAGCCGTATATAGCAAAAAAAAGGCTTACGGCAATATGATGAATATAAAGAATCCAAATCAGGTGATTACTATACCGTAAGGGATTCAAAATATTGCATAGAGGAAATTTGCGAGCTTCTTTCATTGTACAGTTTAGCGCATTTTGTCATTCGATATTTGGTTGCTAATATTTTGCTTATACATAGGAACATGCATATTGTAATTTTAATCAATTTTTGAAGTTCGTGAACAAAGCCTCTAAATTAAAACGAAACGTTTGTTTCTTTATTTAAATGAAAAAGGGCCAGTAAAAAAGCTTAATGTTCCCCGAAGCAAGTATTATCCTTTTTCTTTTTTTACTCGATATATTTAATGAATTTTATTTCATAGAACCTAATTTAATTTTATGTTATCTTACATTATTTTATTACATTCAAAAATGATATATTTTTTATTTAGTTTCGTTTATTTTTATGCACTTTAACATTTTTTTCATTTCGCATTATTTTTTGTTTTGTTTTCCAGCGCTTTATTTAATTTGAATTTATATTAGTTATGTTATATTATTTATTTCAATGCAATTTAAAAAAAAAATAATTTTACTTTAGTTTATATTTTATGCTTATATGATTTTGTGAAAATAACCGAAAACTTTACCTGAAAAACTTTTTGTTAATTTTACAAATTATTTTTCCCACCAACCAGTTGTTAAAGCCAGTTTTCGAACTTATGACAATGCTTGCTGATAATTGAGGCATTTATATACAGGGAATTTATTTACATAAATGCGCAATTAAAGTGGAAAATATACAGTAACATTATCAATTATTAATTTTAATATTTTTATTATTATATATTTATTAATTTAATAACGCAACACAAATAATTTTCTTTACATATTTACGAGTATACAAGGTGACTTTCATCGGCATACAATTTTTCAAGTTGGTTTTCCAAAGTAAAATTTTTCATTTCTCTCGATCTGAACATAGCGGAGTTCATGCTCATTCTCTGCTTGCACCGGCGCGGAGTGCATCAAATACACAGCTGAAGTGTTTTCATCCAACCGGACGACATCATCCAGTTAGCCAAGACACTCCCCCTTAATGTGGTGGATTATGTTAAAGTCATTTTATAACTCCAATGTGTGCGGTGTGTCCACAAAACCTTTCTTTCGGCTACTGTTGATACCGACTAATCAGATGTTGTCATCGTCTACGCTCTTACGATTTTAAGTTCCTACCTTAATTGTTTGAGTAATTAAAAAGTTGGAGTTAGATTTTCTATAGAACATTTACACTTAAATTGGCCGGTTGTTAATTCACGAAATTTTTATTCATTCAATAGATACTCGGATGGACTCTCGGGAGAGCTTAGTAAAACCACAATGTGTAAAAATTATTATCAGATAGAGAACTTTAGATCTTTTAAGAAATAAGATATAACAACAAAGGACACCCTGTTTGTATTAACTTGCAGATGCAGTTGTATACACAAATTTTTATAAAATATTCATGAAATCAATTATATGATGGTGTCGTAAAATGAGCACATATTCGCGAACAGGTGCAGGAAAACAAACTTTAATATTTTATGTAATGACTCATGAGCCGTTCTTGTACTCTTTAACACTTCAAAATGCCGCCATTACTTTTATTTTTAATTTTAATTTCCAATAAAACTGCATTGCATAAGTGTGCTTAAATGAAGAATAATGCTAATTTTCTTGAATGACTAACATTTAATGTTAATAACAGACTCATCCGCTGCGAGCGTCCTAATAACCGAGTTAGCTTCAAACTCAATGACGGCAACTCTGTACTCTAAGCAGTTAATGTGGGCATTACTGATGGTGCAAAATGAGCAACCTTTTTGTTGGAATCTCATAGGTTTCTGATAGACAGCCAAGCATTTATGTGAGAATAGTTAAGGAGGCAAATAGCCGAATATCAAGTGAAAACATAATGAATACTACGGGGATGACGAGATAGCACGCAAGTAGCGGGCAATGAAAAAGCGGACGAGGTAATGAGGCTATCACCAACGACCACCTTAAATCCTTGAACGCCTGGGAATTTTTTTTTTTGGCAGTGTGCGATGGAAGAGCATCTAAGGTACTGATGTGCTTCCAAAGTCAGCATTAAGCCAAGGAGAACTTAACATTCTTTTGGGTGTATTAATGGGGCATCTCCCTTGAGATATCAACTCCACAAGCTAGGTTAAGCGGAATCAGCTATGAGTAGAGCATGCATTTAAGGTGACAAAACACTGGTGTCCAAGCCTTCGTGAGTTTCCGGCTTTCAGGTGATTGAGAAGTGATATCTTCAACGATGTCCACAGATCTAGCCTTATGGATGTGGGTATGCATGGTGCGAGGAAGCTATTATATAACAGTTCATTTAATCGGGCAAACTGTTCACAAACTAGTATTTGAATTATCGAGGGTGTTTAAGCGAGCACACCTTACTTTCAATATCTCTGTTGTTCTTGTTTTTGATATTATAGCAGTTGGTTAACCTGCTCCTAAAGGCAACATCAGTCTAACTCATCGATGACATCTTACGGTAGATCCAAGAAACGAGCGATTTCCGCGGGAGGAAAAGAAGGTCTAGATGAGTTTGTTCATGCTAAGAGAGCTTAGGATCGAGCGGGGACTCATTTCATGCAGGACATATGTGGGATAGGTCAGACTCAAGTCTGGTTAGGTTGGAGTTTGGTCTATTACAATGTCCAGATCTTACTTACGCCAGTATTTCGTCTTATTCTGGAGGCAGTTAGGGCTGTTCTTCTGCAGTAGGTGATGGTTTGACTACGAGAACACCATTCACTGGAAAAGGTAGGTAGAGAAGGTGTTGACGGACTCTCGGTGATTGGCATTTATTGCCTGCTGGTAAACCGTCCTGTCCAGCGGTTGTTGTAAGTGGTGCTGAATGCAGTCCTTGAAGTGGATTACTTCCTTTCTGATGTGCCTGAGACATTTGCCAGCATCAGAGATGGCTGATAGGAGCCAATTTCTCAAAGCATATTTTGTTTTTACTGCAACAATTTTTGGACTTTTGTAAATTCTTTGTGCATTCAAATATTGAAATGACCCCTCACCCCTGAGCACCATCGAACAAATTCAGCCTAATCCCAAAATCACCTAAACATCCTTTTCATGTAAGCGATTTTTCATTCATTTACATTTACACTTCAATATGTGAGAAAAAGAAATTCCTTCTCTGCTTCTCTCAGTTGATTCTAACTAATTCCGACACTTTCCGTTTGCCAATTCTCGTCAGCCAGGTTTTGTTGCTTTCTCTTTTGTTCATTCCAGCTTAGATTTTTGTTATTCTTATTTATGTTATTGTTGTTATCAACACTTTAGTTAAAAGCTTTTATCTCGCACGAGCAACAATTCACTTCTTGCTTTGCCAACTCTTTCGTTTATTTAAATTCATTTTGAAGCTGAAAAGTGAATTTCTTTCCGCTCATCGTAATGCAGATAACACTTTTCTGTCTTAGTTATTCTCGAGCTCACTAAAAGTGAGTCTCTGTTTCATAGATACCGCTCTTCTACGCAGTATGTTCGCTGCGTCCTTAATACCCGCAACCTTCACCTGAACCCGCTTGAGGGGAACAACTATAATATCTGACAAAAGACTCCCGCCTATCTTTCCCTTAAGATTCGATCCCTAAATCTCCAGTTGGTAGTCCATGATGGAGTCGCGTGTTGAACGATTTCCGCTAATTATTTGGAATTACTCTTTTTAGAGATTACGAAAATACGAGATCTTCATAAAACAAGAGAGTAACGTGTAGAGAAATACTCGTCATACAAGAGAAAACGCCCAGCTGTTGTAGGAGAATCGCTTCCGGGGGTTTATTACTTATCCTTGTTCACACTTTTTATCTTGCTGCCTAGAGTGGGAATCCCAAGACGGAACGGAGCAAATGGGAAATTCAAGGGACTTAGCTGTTCAAAATTGCTTGGGCTATAGATGGCTAGAGGTATGGATGGAATTCTCCCTTTCATACCAGAGATATAACTATAGAGATCGTGGGAATTTCTGTTCGGTTGTAGATGACCTACAATTTTTTTCTACTGCCCAATCAATTTGACATCATTTCTTCGTTTTCGTCATGATGGAAGAGAAGAGCTCTTCCTATTCTTATAGTTATGCGTTACTGTCTTCAAGCACCATTAGCAGTCTTAAAGAGAACTGCTAAGTGTACTGCGGCAATTTCGATTTTACTGTTACACATTCCAGGCTCTTCATGCGACCTGGTTATATGAATATGATTTTCTGAAAGTACCATTGAGCTAAGACTATTCACAGCTTTGTGTATAATCGCCTTATAGTGATGCAGTAAAAAGTTCTTTTTAGTACATCTCACCTCCGACCGTGTTCTCTAGTTGTGACTCATCCGTATTAAAGTGAATCAAGTCTACACTTGCTGGTCTTATCTAACATATCCAATCGGACTTTATTCGGGATAGCTACGTTTAAATCTGTCTTGAAGTCAGTGTTCAATCTTTTCTGTGTAAACCGCCAAAGCCAGGTATTTAAGTGCCTGAATCATTTAATTCTTGCGAACGAATTAATAAAAATTTGGAATGGCAAAATGCCAATTGATTGGATCGCCACACAGATTATGCTTATTTGCCGACAACTTTTATAATTTTGTGACATCAAACGAAGAATTGATACGCAAAGTATACCCAACTATCCAACTTAATCATTAAAAAGTGACTAAGTGAGCGACCAATCCTCGCTGCAAGAAATAAAGGTATTTACGATCCCAATCATAGTCAGTGAGTCAAACATTGAAAGCGAATGCGTCACTTATAAGTCAATAGACTCCGCTGTGGAAGCAGATGAGGTAGTCAATTATCCAACAGAATTTTCGAAATTACATAGGAACGTCATAGAAACAACAATGCGGAAAAGGTCTTTCAAAGGCGAAGACGTCCTCACTCCTCTCAATCATATCGTCGGATAATCCCTTTCAAATTGAGCGCATATAGTTCGACTAGCATTTGAAGTCCCATTAGCAATGGTTGATCTATAGAATTATATGTTCTGGTATGAGGCACGGCGCAGCATTGCGAGGTATAGTTAGCAATTGACGGTTATAGCTTCAGACGGCTGTAATTGTCGAGTGGTTAGCATTGCGTACTCTCGTTCTGATCACCAGGCTGCGAGTACTGGTTCGATAAGCATGCACAATTATCGGAAATAATTTTTCTAATTGCGGTCGCCCCTTGGCATGGAGTGACAAGCTTACCGAGTGTACATATATCTGGCTCCTCATAAAAATCCATCGGTCGTTCGAAGGCGGCTCTGAATAAACAGTAGGTCTCTGCATCAGGAAAAACTTCAACTTTACTCGTATGGGTTTGAAGGTAAGGACGAGTCAGTGTTTGAGGATTTCTCTTTTGAAACTGACTCCACCAGCGCATAATATTTTTGATATTATTTTAATGAATCACTTGTTTTCAAACATTCAACATTAAGCTTTCACGTATTTGTACGAGTGTTAAAGTGTAGTTTTTAAAGTACAAAATTTGGCTACAAAAAAACTTGCTCTGAAAGTCAAGCCCCTCAAGCGTTGGCATTTTTTCGTTTTTATATTCATGCTTTTAGGCAAAATATTTCATATTTTTTAGAGCACGAGAGTCAATTCCGATTGGGCAGATGTGAAGCTTTCGGCATTTTTGTTTTTTCCGAA